ACAAAAGAGAAGCCATTTGCGTGTGAGGGATGTGAATATAGGTGTTCTAGGTCCGATGGGCTTAAGATACACATGCGCATTCACACGGGAGAGAAACCGTTTGCGTGTGAGAGATGTGAATATGGGTGTTCTACGTCCAGTATGCTTAAGACACACATGCGCACTCACGGGAGAAAAGCCGTAGACATGCGATATATGTGAATGTGTGGATGCAAGTTTACTGCCTGCAGTTCACTGAGTAAACACCGGCGCACTAACTCAAAACCGAGTGTGTGATACACGCATCTACGCAGGGCGAATACAGAAACCAGGAACTGCATCAAATCGTATAGCATGACAGCATCACATCGTCTAAAACAATCCTACTGCGTGCCGCGATATCGCGCTGCCGTCCTTCGTAGCTCATAGTACAGTATTGTGACGTATATAAATGACATTTCTGATCTCTGCATACTATCTGGATAGCGGCTAGCCAATCCTCTGTCAGCGAGAAAATGACGCTGCCACGTCGTCACTGGCCGCCATCTTGCGACCACTCCAAATGCTCCGCGCCGCTATACGCCCCGTAACATTTAGAATGTAGAATTAGAAAATGCAGCTTAATTTATCATTCTTATTTGCATCATGAAAACAACAAACTTTGATGAATACATGACAGTATATATATATATATATATTTATCGGCATATTCAATGAGGGATTAAAATTGTTATACATGAACATATTTACCACATTGTTTGTGCGTCGTAACGTGGTACGTGCAGATATTCGGATATCATTGCAATGCCGCCTGTGGCATGATCATCTCTATGTACGTATGTTGTATTCATTTCTTCATAACACGTGTCACGTAATATTGCATGTATAGGTTCTGTAATGTTTTTTTGGAACTTTTTTCGAAATTGTCATTTCTTTTCGTTCAGCTATTGTCATGAATACAAACGTCACATGTTGGCATGTACGTATCGATTGTGTGTTTTGTATGGTCGCATGTTGGGGGTGGACTGCGGGTGTGTGCGTGCGCGTGTGTGCATGTGTGCGCGTGTGTGTGCGTAGATCTTTAGTTGTAGTCTAACACATTAACGAACGTGACAACTAGGACTGTCATCTGTACTCTTGTCTGCAAGCCAGATACTGTACATTCTGGCATCCTGATGGGATAGTTGAATAAATGTTTCAAAGCGCAGAATTGACTTCAATAACGAAAACGCATTTTTAGGACTTCAAATTTCTCTATGGCTGTTCTGGCAGTACAACATGGGGTTGTTCTGTCATTACAATGATAGCCAGCTTTTCGGTGATGTCAAAACACTTTTTTTACGCATTTTGCAGCAAACATATCGAAACTTTTTTGCTTGGATCAAATGACAAGGTTCTCTAGCTTTTCATATCAATCATGGGTTGTTTGACAAATACTTATCACCGTACTCGGTCACAAAAAAACATGGACAGATTTCGGCCGTATTGTCACATTGACAATATCGAAATTATTAACGAATATTTGGACAGCCGGGCAGCTATGTCTGGGTAGGAAATAAATATTGCTATGGTCTTATTAAGTTGCATTTAGCAAGCTTCACGAACGTACGCTCACAGGAGGGCGCAGTGTGTGATAGTTGCGAGTGGAAGCCGCGAGTGAAAGTTCGTCTGTCCTTCTGTTGTCGGTGGTCCTTTTGTCTTTTTTTTCGTGCACGTCGCCAGTTTTCAGGGCACACCCTGCAGGAGAGCGCAGATTCTGTGATTCACCGACGGACCTCAACCCCACAGAGCAGCCCACACCGCCGCCGCCGCCGCCACAAAGTAGCCTAAACCGTCGCCACCTGGTGCCCATCACTGCAGAGTCGTCGCCGCCTGGTGTCCACCACCGCAGAGTTGTCGCCACCTGGTGTCCACCACCGCAGAGCTGTTGCCACCTGGTGCCTGTCGCAGAGCCACCGCCACCTGGTGTCCACCAGTGCAGAGCCGCTGCCACCTGGTGCCCACCACTGCAGAGCTGTCGCTGCCTGGTGCCTGTAGCAGAGCCGCCGCCACCTGGTGTCCACCAGCGCAGAGCCGCTGCCACCTGGTGCCCACCACTGCAAAGCTGTCGCCGCCTGGTGCCTGTAGCAGAGCCGCCTCCACCTGGTGTCCACCAGCGCAGAGCCGTCGCCACCTGGTGTCCACCACAGAGCTGCCAGCTTGTAAACAATGATGATAAAATTATAAATAACAAAATCAAAATACGAAATAATAATTTCATGATTAATAATTGTGTTGGTATAATAACAAGACGATTTATTGTTCAATGTAGATTTTTGTTAAATAACTTTTTTTTTGTAAAATAAATAAGAATTTGTGTACTTGGAATCCTAATCTTGTTGTATTTGTCAGCTGTTCTGGTTCTCGTTAGTTCACATACTTTCGCGGTCGGGATCAAACATTCATGTGCGGACAACATACAAGCACGATGATAGCAGAGTTGTACATAGAATGCTGATAACACAGGAGCATGCGAAACATGGAGTTATGATCATCAGCGGTAAACAAATCGCGAACAAATGATGTAGACAGCTTTGGCGAGAAGTTGTGCGCGCATTCGGACAAAGACAAAGACGTGTTACATTTATAATAAATTACATTTTATATATGCAGTCGTGGTTGAGATGCGCAGGCAGTTCCGCGTTCATACTTACATGTATCACACACCGGCATATACGTCATACTACGCGTAGCTGCTATCTTACACTTACAGATATTTATCTTAAAGTGATTACGTCACGAATTTCTAGCACCATCTAGTAGTATATTTGTTTGTTATTTGTACAAAATAAAATGTATGAAAATACAATTAGTGTTTCTGTTTACTTTTCATGCTTATATACCTTCTTTATATGCCCTAATTTGCCGGGGAAAACAGAGAGACGCCAGTATCTGAACAGTACTGGGGAAATAGTGTTAGACAACAGAAATTACCAAATTGTCTAGATTTTTGCAAATTTAACCAACGTAAAAACTTTTTTATTAGGTGAGATTGAGAATATATTTAGTAACGTTAGTTCTTACTTTTAATTTTTTTTAAATGGCAAATCTTTTTTTACAAATTTTTCCATGGAAAATTCGTGACGTAGTCGATTTAATTTTTGGTACATGTCACGCACCGCGTAGCTGTTATATATACGGACGTGTGAGTTGCACCTGCGGAGTGAACCAGCTCCTGATTATCACTAGAGGGCGCCACATTATCTCTGTCTCCCTTTTCACTCTCTCTTTCTCTCTCTACCCCCTCTCTTTCTTTCTCTCTTTCTTTCTTTCTTCCTCTTTTTCTCTCTTTCTTCCTCTCTTTCTCTCTTTTTTCCTCTCTTTCTTTTTTTTTTTTCTCTGTCCCTCTTTCTCTCTCTGCCCCTCGCTCTTTCTCTCGCTGTCACCCCTCTCTCTCTCTGTCCCTCTCTTTTCCTCTCTCTCTCTCTCTCTCTCTCTCTCACTGTCTCTCTCTCTGTCCCTCTCTTTCTCTCTCTGCCTCCTCTCTTTCTCTCTGTCCCCTCTCTCTTCTCTCTGTCCTCCTCTCTCTTCCTCACTCTGTCCCTCCCTTTCTCTCTGCCCCTTTCTTTCTCTTTCTCTGTCCCTCTCTCTTCCTCTCTTCCTCTCTTTCTCTCTCTCACTCTACTCCATCTCTTCCTCTCTCTGTCCCCCGCGCTCTCTCTCTCTCTCTTCCTCTCTCTGTCTCCCTCTCTCTCTCCCTCTCTTTCTCTCTGTCCCCCTCTCTCTCTTTTCCTCTCTCCTCCCCTCTATATTTTTCTCGCTGTCTCTCTCTTTCTCTCTCTCTACCCCCTCTCTTCCTCTCTCTCTCTGTCTCCCTCTCTTTCTCTCTGTCCCCCCTCGCTCTCTTTTCCTCTCTCTCTCTGTCTCCCGCTCTCTCTCTGTCTCCTTCTCTCTTCATGTCTCTGCCCCCTCTCGTCCTCTCTCTGCCCCCTCTCTCTTGAACTCTGCCCCCTCTCTCTTCCTCTCTCCCTGCCTCCTCTCTCTGTCTGCCCCCATATCTATATCAATTTAATAATAAATTTAAAAAATAATTATGAATATAAACATGAGGATTTTTCGCTACTGCCATTCCATATCAGAATTGTCTTCCTTCTTCTCTGGTTACTTCCCTGGTACCGGGAGTACACCAAAAGAAATATAAATATAAGCTAGAAATGATAAAAAACAGATCTGCAAGATTTGTTACAAACACCTATGGGCGATACAGCAGTACGTCAGCTCGGGTGGCAACAACTTATGTATCGTAGACGCTTTAACTCGAGTGTAGTGATGTATAAGGTTGTAAACCACCTCATAGCAATACCGGCGAATAGATATCTGATCCCGGGGATGTCAGGTACCAGATCGAAAAGCCCCACAAATTTCGGCACCTACACTGCAANATATGTAGCTGTGACCCCCATCTTCGTAGCATACCTTGTTACGTCTGGGCAGTGACATGCAGTGTTGCAGTGCGTCAATGATGATATTTATTTTGACATCTTTTTCCCAGCAGGAGAGCGTTAGCTAGAGCTCGAAACGAGGGAGAACTGAGCACCTACGATCTGTCTGATGGAGCCTTCTTGTTCAGAAATGCCACGCCCTGGAGGAGAGAAGTCCTACGTGGGTGATGTGTGTGGATACGCTGGCTCCAAGCTAGGTCATCTCAAGAAACATATGCGCACTCACACAGCAGAGAGGCCGTATGCATGCGATATATGTGAATACAGGTGTAGGAGCTCCAGTCATCTCAAGATACACATGCGCACTCACACGGGAGAGAAACCGTTTGCATGTGAGAGATGTGAATATAAGTGTTATACGTCCGCTATGCTTAAGTCACACATGCGCACTCACACGGGAGAGAAACCGTTTGCATGTGAGAGATGTGAATATAGATGTTCTAGGTCCGATATGCTTAAGACACACATGCGCACTCACACAGGAGAGAGGCCGTATGCGTGCGATATATGTGAATACAGGTTTACGACTTCTGGTTATCTCATGATACACATGCGCACTCACACAGGAGAGAAACCGTTTGCATGTGACACATGTGAACACAGGTGTAGGACCTCCTGTCATCTCAAGATACACATGCGCACTCACACGGGAGAGAAACCGTTTACGTGCGATATATGTGAACACAGGTGTAGGAACTCCGGTCATCTCAAGATACACTTCCGCACTCACACGGAAGAGAAACCGTTTGCATGTGAGAGATGTGAATACAGGTGTAGGAACTCCGGTAATCTCAAGAGACACATGCGCACTCACACGGGATAGAAACCATTTGCGTGTGACACGTGAGAATACAGGTGTAATGTAACGACTGGTGCGACTGGTGCGACGTTACACAGTCGAGAATGTGGAGAGGACGGAGATAGGTATAACGGACGGGCGTGATGTTAGCCGGGAGAGAGAGAGAGAGAGGTGAGAGGAGATCGTTCTGAGGATCGTGAGACGTAAGACAATAATCAAAGGCGAACTCTATACGATGGATCTTTATTCCGACTCCACACGGATAACAGTAAACGCGGAGCAGGCTCTCACAGGCGCGTGACGGATCATGCCTAGATTTCTCTGCCCGGACATGAGCATGCGAACCCTATTTATCCTCGTGCACGCGCTTTCCGCCAATTATACCGATATTTCCTTCTCTTACGACCGGTTGGGCCCGTAAAAGCCTTTTCCCTGTGACTAATTCCTTTATGTTGTTACAACTTCTAGTTTAAGCTAAAGTCACACTGGGGCCGGACTGTCCACGCGGGGTTTCTAGAGAGAGAGCAGACGATGAGAGCGAGGGAGAGAGAGAGAGAGGGGTAAGAGTAGAGAGGGGTATGAGAGTGAGAGAGAGAGAGCGGTAGCAAGAGACGTGTACGAGAGAGAGGGGGGTAGAGACTATAATAACCTACAGCCGTGCAAGTGGTGTTTGATCATACGGTTGGCGTGAACGCGCGAACTGTCGGGCTGTGACAATCCAACGGCAGAAAATCGTATGTTTACCATTGATGATCGAAACTCCGTGTGTCGCATGCTCCTGTGTTATGCACGCATTCTATCAAGAGCTATTATTATTATTATTAATTAATTAATTTATTTAATTATTAGTCTTGATTCTATGTACAACTCTATCATCTTGCTTGTTGTTATGTTGTCCGCCACTAAAGTAACATGAATGAACCGCCGAAAGTATGCTGAATAACCGAGAACCAGCACAGCTGACAAATACAACAATTAAAGTTAGGATTTCAAGTACACATAAATTCTTTATTTATTTTACAAAAACGTTATTTAACAAAAATTCGCGATGAAAACATTGAACAATAAATCGTCTTGTTGATTTACAACAAAATTACTAATAATGAAAATTAATATTGTATTTTGATTTGTATTTATAATTTTATCAGATCATGTAACCAGAAATTTCAGCTAGAATAGTTTATGCCAGCAAATTCTACTCATTGCTAAGACAATTTAAACGATAGCTGTAGGATAGTTTATACGTAAGAATAGTGACGCTCCAAATACTTGGCCAAGCGGCCAACACACTGGACGGCGGTGTTCGCCAAAGGATGGCTGATCAACTAAAAGTAAAGTCAACACCAAGACTCCCGGACCGGGCCGGACGCTGTCCGGACTGAATCCGGGGGTGAGATCCTTTTGGAGTCCTGGACGGTCCGGCCCGGGTTTTCGGGGTGGTCCGGGGTTCGGTCCGGGGTGAGTCCGGGTGCGTCTGATGGTCCCGGGCGCATTCCGGGCAATAGTCGCCCCGAAGTTTTTAACTTGTTTAAAAATTGCCGGGGGTTGTATCCGGCGACGCTTCCGCGGAAGTTTTCACCATCCGCGGTGGTCCTGGACGCGTCCGTTGCGCGCAATCCGTGGTAGGTCCGGGACAGCCGTAGCTGGCACCCGTGTTTGAACCGGGTCCCATCCGTGGCCATCCGTGTGTTTTTGTCGGCCAGCGGAATGTAGCTGACACTGATAAATAAAAAAAAAAAAAAAAAAAAAAAAAAAAAAAAAAAAAAAAGCCTGATTAAGTTTTTAGTAAGTTTTATTGCCAACAACATGTATGTTTCTTTGAATGAAACTGAAATAATCTCAAATTGACAAAAATGAACATGAGTGACTGAATGATTTTTGATGTTGCAAATAACTATTAAAGTTTTAATAGTCTGCTTGTTGAAAAATTGCAGTGCTTGTTCCTTTTTGACTAAACATCAAATGTTGATTCAGTTATCTCATCAAATTTATGTTCAAAAGAACTGATATTTTGTTAGATGAAAAAAAATCACTACAAAATGCAAAGCTAATTTTTATCATAGAATGCTGAGAAATGCATTTCATGA